ACCTCAGTGTAATAGAGATGATTTTTCTTGTGCTGCCCTTCCCAAAACAGGCTCAGGATGTAACTGTATGTAGGATGTAACTGTCGTCTGACCGGTGAAATCATCCATACCACTTTATAACACGCAAAGCATTAGTAGTCTGAAGTGCAGGTTGAATCAGAAAAGTATTATCCGTTCCTGGCAGGGGTATTAAAGAAGAGACAGCCTGCTTACGCTGCTACAACAAAGCATGTTATGAAACCCAGGCAGGTAACCCAGTCATCAAATGTGCTGTACAATACAAATAAACTCCCTCTGCAGACAGATGTGCTGTCTCCCGCACCACCAGGAAAGAGCCTAGACAGCAACGGCCTTTTGAACATGAACCCTGGCTAAAGATCAAAGGCACTCTTATCTTCTCTTCCATCTCCCCAAAGCACCTCGCCTGCCTCTCGTCCTTCCTCTCACAGACCCAGAGGAACGCACTTCCACCTTCCGCTTCCTCTGTGCCAAAACAAAGTTTATTGACTTTCAGGACTTTTAACCATCTTTAACTGAGCCTGCGGAAGGGTGTACGAGCCTGAAACCTGGCAGAAAAATCTTTTTTGCTGTTGTTGCAATTTCTCGGTTTAATAGAAGGTATCCTCTCCGAACCAAGGGTTCTGCATTTCTTATCCCAAATGTGTTTCATTTCAATGAAGGGAGGGCATGCCCGAAATCTCGCTAGAAAGGATTTTTCCAACGAGATCGGATTCACCTAAAGACCCTGCCCCCTGCCACATCTCCTCCAGCTCTTCCATCGGCTACAGCCAGAGTGAAGAAGGCGCCCAGGGGCGCCTGTCCCAGGCCGGCTTGGAGGGGTGCAGGAGTTGCACTCGGGATAAGAAATGCATTTGGGATAAGAAATGCAAAACTCTTAGCTTGGAGAGGATACCTTTTATTAAGCTGAGAAATTGCAACAACAACAACAAAGATGTTTTTCTGCCAGGTTTCATGCTCACGTGCCCTTCCGCAGGCTTAGGGCCCCTGTCCCAGGCTGGCTTGGAGGGGTGCAGGAGTTGCACTGCTCCACGATGCTGGGGGGGGCTGCACGGACACCTGCTCCACTTGTTTGTCAGGGCACCTTGGAGGGGTTACATTTCCCCGCGATGCTGGGGGGCGCTGCAAAGGAAGCCGCAGTGGCACCTGCTCCACTTGTCCTCCCGGCGTCCCCCCAGCCTCTAGGGGGCGCTGCGGCCGCGGCCCCGCCCCCTGGACGTGGCGCCGGCCCGCACCCTGCGTCGCGGAACGCCACGTCGA